ATCCATTATTAAAATAATATTTCATTTGATTCTGATGATTCCTTCATGGTGTTGCATTTTCTACAAACAGCAGTTTAAAATTTAATACAATATGTGTGTTTTGCATGAAATATATTTTGGCGGCATATTAAAAGAACGTAATACCATGGGAAAAACTCTTCTTGGAAAATTCTCTTTCCTCTACATCAGTAATTTAAAATATAGAAAAGGGGTATTTAGGTAAACTTATAGCAATACCCTGTTTCCATTAGCAGGTTTAAGCGTAAGATGCGATCTTTAAAGTGGTAGCAAAGCTTCTGAAGTTTTAAGTTCGTTATTTTCCCAATGTGGCTGCCACAGCAAAGATGGCTAAAGATGGAAAACGAATAAACATGAAGAGACAGTTTTTTATAAAACAAGATTTATTTAAAACATCATTCACACATTATCAAAGCAAAAGCAAATTGAAATTCTTGTAACGGATTAGTATACAGCTTAAAATAAAACAATGCAATTGGGTATACTATAGCCTACGTCACAGATCGTGTTATTCCTACTAAATTTAACTAGTAAACAGCATTTTCTGCGAACCTGATTTCTAGCAACAAGTAAAAGCATCAAACGAAGTTTCTTGTTAATGTTATAAGTCGCTACTCGCCAGGTTGGAATTGTATTAGTCTAGTTCCTTTGGAAATAATTTATATTGTTGTTTTACCGAAGTTTATGAATTTAGTAAGCATATTTAAAACTCAGTTTATTAATTAAACTAAAAGTTAAATGTTATTCCTAGTAAGTGGAAGTAGTTGTGCTTTTTTCATATTATACCCAATTGTTTTTCTTGATCTCGTTGTACTGTTTTTCTATTAATGCTTGTGTTAGCTGGATAATTTAAGGACTCTCTAAGGGATCTTAAAAATGGTGTTCTGGGTCAGAAAAAGAATTAAAAAAGTTTATGAGAAAATGTAACATAATTTTAAAGTTTATAGTATTAATCTTTTTCCATTTCAATACAAGGAGTCGATTGCTAAATAAAAAACGAGCAAGCGTGATGTTTTTTGCGTTCAATCAAACAA